AGTCTTCGTATATGTCTAACACAGAATTTTTTGGGCTCAGCGATCATTATACCCCCCATGAGGAACCTGCACGAAGCCGGCTCACTAGCAGACGTCAACTTCCTGGAGATCTCAAAAAATGCACGAAAACCCCATGTATTAACATTAGGGATAACACGTTTTTTTGATCCCTCAAAAATTTTATGAAAGAACCACCCAAACTTTCACCGGTTATCATCATTGCAGCACCTTACGGACACGTGCACAAAGCCGGCTCACTAGCAGAAGTCAACTTCCTGGAGATCTCAAAAAATGCACGAAAACCCCATGTATTAACATTAGGGATAACACGTGCGTCATTTTCCCTACGAGAGTACAGCCTTGAAGAGCTTAACACCCCCAAACGGGAAGATCATGCAGGCTGTAAAATTTGTCTGATAACATTAGACTGTGGGACTCAGTTGATCATTAAATATATAAAAATCAGGCCGGATCTCACTAGCTGTGACAAACTTCCAGCAAAACGGATTACCGTGAACTTGCCGGACCCATGTCGCATCTTCTTTCAGAATTGCCAGACTTAACAGAACTCCCGTATTATGAATCAAAAACAGATGCCGGAGTTAAATTGCTGCGGGAAGTAAAAGCGAAACTGATAGACAGCCCTCACCTGACAAAAACAGACCAGCTAAATGACATTGCAAAGCCGATCGCCCATCACATGAGATTACTGAAACCCACCCTAGTGGATAAAATGGAACAGTATGTGCCACTAAAAATCTCTCTGACGTTAACACTGACAGTCTTCATTGGAAACCTGCTTTTACACGCTTTAGCCATATACCTCTACCACCGGTTTGCCATCTTCAGAAGATTGACTCCGAAGTTTCTGAAAGGGCAGGATGGAACCATCGCACTTCGACCGGTGCTCTCAGTAGCAGTATCTGACAGGAAGGCCTTCCAAAAGGAGGGGTCCAAGCTTCGTGAGAAATACATGGTACTAACACAAGCAGAACTGAATGCCTTTCAAACGCCAACCAACCGATCAAGACTAACCTCAGCCTGCTCCTCAATGGGGAACATCAGCAGAACACAAGAATCACAGGTTGTCTTGAACGAAACGAGCTTTAACGAAAGAGGAAGAGAGGAGAGCTTAAGCCAAATTTGACCAGATACTGGCAGTCATTGAACTCACATTCATAAATCACCCATAAGACTGACTACGTGGCCAAATTAACTTTGACATCGGATTGTCTCACTTCCTATCAGAGACTTGACTTGTCTTGTTTATACCTAAATCCTTTTAATCATGTATATATTCTGAACAGTTAGGGGCATGCATTTGCGTATATCTGAGTCCTACTATAACTGTGTTCAACATGTTGAATGTACTTAATTTAGTTCAGAGATTAATAACATTTTGTGTCAATCAATGACTTATAACTATAGCCTTTATATTGAAAAGTACAAATCAATTGCTTCTCTACGCATATTACGAATCTAATTAATGCAGTGCCATATTACACCCGGTGCGTGCTAACTCAGGTTCTCCCTTGGTTATTAGCCGCCAGGGAACAATCAACAGGTGTGTAAGTGTCACATAGTGCTTCACGCCTATGTTAGTTACTCATTATTAATTACCATAATTGGTGCGAATTAGACTTAAATATCAATGCCATTATATGTCAATGACAAAGTGTTAAACTCAAATTTACTTAATGCAAACGATCAATTAGAAGGTAATTGAATCATTAATTGAGAGAGGGAGCCATAACAATAAAGCAGCGAAAAGATAGTAATTAAAAGATTAATCCTCACTCTTTTAAATCAAACAGCTTAGACTCAAGAGAAGGGGGTAGACATCACGAAGCACATCCCTGAGTCGAAGATATTGAGCCTAGACCGCGCATCCCTTTATTACTCTCAAACACAATTCCTCATTTCCAATCATTAATTATCATAGCAAGACACGCTATATAACAGCTACACAATTGCGACATGTGAAAATTTGATTTGCAATCAAGAATGCGCAAAAGAAAATTTATTGTAGTCCAAAGACAAATTTCAGGCGCAATGACAACTCAATAACGTCTAATTTTTCAAAATTGTGGTTTTGTATCGATGTCTAAGTTCATTTTTTGGGTCACGTCTCACTTGCTAATCTAGTTTCCTGGGAACCGTTTTTTTATTTAGGTCGCGTTTATTGGATGTTTTTTTTTAAAAAAAGGTCATCAATGTCTATTTGCATTTTATGGGGGTGTGATTTCTGTTGTTTTAGTGCAATTTAAAGGCTATCAAAAAGTTCGAAGGCAGCAAAAAATTGTAATTGATTTAATTTTTGAAAGTGCATTTTCAATTCTAAATGTTGCATTCGAATAAAAAACCACTTGAGATGCCCAGTTTTTCCAATATGCTTATTTTTATGATAAAAAAGTGTCGGTTATAAAAGATCTTGATATTAAAGAGCTTAAACCTATTTTTTTTTTCAAAAACCTGAAAGTTAACAAATTTTCAAAAAGTCTTTTAAGTTTCATTGAGTTCGTTGACACTTTTAGTTAGTTTTATTGACTTGAACGGGGTTTGTTTTCAGAAACATGAAAAGTTACAAATGTTCAAAAAGTCTTTTTTCAGTTTCATTGAATTCGTTGACACTTTTCGTCTAGTTTTTTGACCATTTGTTGTCCGTGGGCTACAATTATTGAATTCCGCCGATTTGAAAAGCTGCAATATTTTCTAAAAAGACGCTTTGACTTTTTTTACGAAACCTCTCTGATTTTGTATGTTGCTATTGAAGTTATTTTTTTCCTTGAACGTGTTCGAATCAAATTGCACTAGTTTAGATAATTACTCAAAAGTAGGTTTTGATATTAATTTGAAATCATAGTTCGGATTTTTGGATATAAGTTGAGGTGTAGCTTCATGCTTTTTTACTCCGAATAAGATACTCAAAGGTGAAAAACTCCGAGGCGAAAAATTAATTTTTTTTTCTGAATTTTTCCCTATAACTTAGACAACATGCTCATATTTTCTTGCTTTTCTTAAAATATATTTTGATTAACTCTTGTATCGTACGTTGAGGGATATTTTAAATCACTTTTTTGCATCACTTTTGAATCACTTACGTTCTACTCGGAATCTAAGCCTCTAAATTTTCTTTAAGATAACCGCCCCTCATCTAACACAATCTTCTTCATATATAACATAGTCACTTTCCCTCCATTTCACCCTTCTTCTTGGTACACCAACACACACATACTTACCTTCCTGCTGTCCTTGGTTTTGGTCCTAATATGGAAATAATGTGATAGTGAAAAAACGTGTGGTGTGGTGGGGGTGAATGTGTATGAGGGGAAAGATGGATGTGGGGGTGAACATGGGAAAAAGGGGGTGAATGAGGTGGGTGTAAGTAGGTCAATGAAGACCAAGAAACTCGAAAATCTACAAAATCTTCTTTTTTTTGTTCTCTTATAAAAGTAGTAGCTTGTTACCTGTTTTATAGAAAATAAAATAACAATTTTGTAATACAAGTAAAAAGTATTGTATGTTGAGCTAATAAAGCTTACAAATTTTTGATATAGTGAACTGTGGAAATTTCAAGCCCACTTAAAAAATGATTATATTGCATTAGAGTCTAATATGATCAATTCAGATTTTTTATTTGATACAGCCAAAAAAGTTCTGAATTAGTCGATCCTTATCCAAGGAGGTCCATGAAGGGATAGTGCTAAATCAAGAAAATGAAGACTTGGAGGTTTTTGGACTTTTTGTGTCAATGAGCGCAGTGAAGACCTTTTCATAACTTGTGATGAATCTTTTGATGTTTTTACAAAGAATATTGTGACCTTTTTTGATGTTTTTTGCGGAATATTCTGACCATTTTTTTCTGAAAATTAAGTTTTTTTAAATCTTATTTTAAAATCCATTTACCACTGAAACAGCTCATTTTTTTACCCCACTCGATGATTTGCAAAAATCTTTTAAGTTTTTTTTTCATTGAGTGAGAAGATCTCCTCTAGATTGTAGATCTTTGTTGCTACGCAATTGGTTAGAACAGAAGTTCTCATAAAATCTGCTGAAAGTTTCTATATAAATTTATGAAAAAAATCTGTGGCAGCTTAAAACTTTAGTATGCAATTTTTTTTATGTAGATTTGAAGTTCCACGTTTAATTTTTTATGATGAATCAAAAAGTAAAAAATAACTTTTAGTTTCCTTCATAGCGAAAGAAAAAAATTTTTGCTACTACTTTTCCAAGCCAAGTCGCAAATAAAAACGCTCATTTGGTGTCCTTTTTGCTTTGACAACAGCGTTGGAAATTTCAGTTTTTGTTTTCTGCTTTAGCTAGTGGTTGCCTATCGCTGAGCGATCGTGGTGCAAATGCGAATAGGGGAGAATCGTAATCCACATGTAGGAAGTTCGACTCCGGAACAGTAAAAAAAACTTTCAAGGTTTATTTCAACATTTTCAAGGATTTATTGGTTGCTAGTGTTTGAACTTTGAGAAATGACCGTATTTAGAATGACTGTAATTTATCAAAAAAGTGTTTCGGTTTACGTTTTTGGGCTCTTCTTTAAAAAGCTGGGAGAGAAAAACATTTTATGGAAAAGTCGACATTCAGGGTAGTCAAATTAATAGACTTCTCTTTAAATTATAACTCTCTGCTCAGTAAATCGAAAAACTGATTTCTGTTTTACCGTTACTATTACGTTTATCATGCTTGTTCCTATTATACTCTTTCATTTATTTTTTTCTATAAGTTAGAATAACGAAAGTATCTAACAGATTTCCACTTCCGCCTTGCTAACTTAGACAATCAATTCTGCGGCCTCCTCAAATGCTCATGACTCTTCAAAGGCGAATGTCCGGTTTTCGCCAGCAGTGGAGAGTTATCGAAATATTTTTAGTTTTCTTGGTCGACCTAATTGAATTTGATGCGTTTTGAAACACTTAACCAGAAGGCCTTAATTAGCCTCAAAATGTTACCCATTGTTTAGAAAAACTATAATTTCTTGTTTGTTTTAGCAAATGCAAGTGGTGATGTTGCAGACGAAGGACCATGGGACGTTCTACGAGGGGGACTCCTACCTGCTGCTACACACCGAGAAGACAGGACCCAATTCATTCAGCTATAACATACACTTCTGGCTCGGAAAATACACCTCACAGGTAAATGCTAATCATCCCCTCCCCTCTCATATACACACAAACGCACCATACAAGTATTGAAAAAAGCGGCAGAAAACGAGGTCTTTTCGGTTATACTCCAAATGGCCAGCTACAATTTTACAGACAATAACAGGCTCTGATTTACCATGGAAAACTACTGAAAATTGATGTATCTCAAGCAGCAGTGCTCTTAAGTTGATGTCATTTTTAGGAATTGGGTTTATCAATTTTCAATTCTAGTAAACATTTTCTTAAGAATGTTACAACTGATCTAAAATTAGTCAATTATTGGATTATTGCTTGTTTACTAACAGTTAATTCGTCCAAAAATGAAGTGATGACATTCGGAAATTTCAATTCCTTGGAAATATCTGTCTATGAACTTTTAGAGAAAAAAAATATGTAAGTTTTTGATTGTGGTGTTAAGTTGACGGTTTATGTGGTGGTATTTAACCGGACACAGCGAACATTAGAAAATTCAAACGCGTTTTTCTCCAGGTGGGTTGGTTAAGATTAGGCAAAACTTGAAGAGAACGAAAGAGAAGAGTTTCACCAGAACTATAATAGTGCAAATTTGTTCGAATTCTCAACCAAAATTTTGCCCAAAAAATGGATAGTTTTGGCTTTTTTGATTAATGAAAAATTACTCTGAATCTAGAAAAACTAATTGATCAGAAAATTATATCTCTATAAATCTGCATGAGAATATACTTTTTGTGGATAGCCAAAAGGATCATTTTATTATATAAAAATCAAATATTTTGCTGAAAAGCAAAATTCAAACGTTTTACAATTGAAATTAGGCTTCTTTGAAATTAGGATTTACGTTGAGTCTTCTTTTGATAAAAATTTCTCATCAATCAATTTGGTAGTTTCAGCGTAATTCTTGAATAATTAAACAAGCCCCATTGAAACATTTTTGGGATAAAATATTGGTTCAGAATTTTGGGGAAAAATTCACCTTGTTTAATTTGAGAATTTCTAAGCAACTTTTGTTCTCTTTACTTTTTGTCTAATCCTTACTCAATTTGAGAACAACGCTTTTGTCCGGATCATTTAAATCAGCACTGAATGAATCTTTATCCATGGTTGTACATCCTTCACTCGGCTAGCAAAAATTGGAAGGACTAGCAAAAGTCGAATAGTTGAGCAAAACTGTTGGATCTATTCCAGAATAATTAGGCGTTTTTGCTTTTTTTTATAAATAATTTTAATTAATTTTAATAAACTAAAAAATGAATTTTAAAATAACTAATGTGAAAACATAATTCACTAAACTGTGCTTCCGTCATGTCTATCAAAACAAGAGCTAAACTAGAGGACAATGTTAGCTCATATTGAGGTCTTGTCGATTATGATAATTGGTGTGTATATTATTGTTCCCACTCTTTTCGAAAAAAATGACGGAATATTTGTGGTTTTTTCTCAAGATAATTTTGGACTTTTAAACTAGCAATTTTCAGACGGGATTTAAAAAAAATTATTTGTAAGATATTGTTGTATTGAGCTCAAATTTAAAAAGATTTGATGGGGGTTTAAAGATTGCCAAATGGAATACTTGATACTTAGAAATCGTTTCAGATTGGATTAAGACATGCTCTTTGATCTATTTAATTTTTGTTAAGTGAAAAATATATCACTTTGTTTTTGCTTTATACATAGCGGTGTGGGAGATGATTTAAAAAAACGCCTGAAAATTTTTTTAAAAGTTTTTTCCGTTTTTGAAATTTTCGTCAACTGTTTTTGTTCAAACTACCCATAGCAACTAAAATGCAATCGGAACGGAATATTCAGGGATTCGCCCCGATACGAGAAATTTTGTTGTATGTGTATATTTGGTTATTCGGTTTAGTTCCAATCTAAAGATGGGTCATTTAATGTCAGTAAAATTAATAATGACACTCATCACTGGCAAGTGCATCGACCAATTGGTACAATAACCCAGTCTCGTCATGAATTTCATGCTTTCAACAATATTCATTAATTGATATCAAATGCTATAGAAGCTGTTCAAATCGCTCATTTTGGTATTTTCGGATATTTCGGAAAATCAAATTGGTCGACCTAAAAAAAAGGTTGACAAAATGTTTATTTTTTTTCGAGACCCCCTCCTAAAAAAATTTATTTCTGCGCACGCCACTGGCGACAATTCATACTTAATTGGAGAAGTTTTTTGTCAAAATTTTTCGAGCAGTGCCCAAAAGCGGCATTCTGGTATGGTTCTTAAAATAACGGCCGCGCAAGTCTTTTTATAATGTTTTTTTTTTGGATCGCTGCATCAATTTGTTAGACCTGGAAAAAATAGGCGAAATTCCCCCACCGACAGAATTCTCTATCCTCTCCTAGTCAGATGTATCTGCTTACTGTAAAGTATGAAATGAAAAATGTCTGCTTGCTGGCCGCACGCCTTGAAAAGGACAGCCTATAAAAAATCGTATCTACCTTTTTGTTAACGTGCTTTTTATGTACTTCAGTTTTTATAGGATGAGTCAGGAGTTGCAGCGTACAAGACTGTGGAGTTGGACGAGGTCCTAAATGGAAATGCAGTCCAGTACAGAGAGTGTCAAGGTCACGAGAGTGCAAAGTTCACATCCTACTTCAAAAAGGTACAGCAATAGCAACTTTCTTTGGATCCACTTAACAATTACCCGCTTCAAGAAAAGGGTTAGTCGAACTTTCGGCCAATCAGATTGCAGCAAAAATTGAATTATAGCAGGGGTAGTCGGTTACTGTGCAAGTATCACATAATGTTCCGACCAGTCTAAAAAGAAACACACAAAAAAAAGTTTTTTTTTTTCAAGTTAGTGTCGTTTTTTTCTGCGTGATGTGATAAAAAAAGATCTGAACAAATGAATAGAACTCAGGCGTATTCGACAGTCATAGTTGTAAAGTAGGCCGATTGGAAAACAGTTTCTGTAGAAAAATGACTAAGAAACGAAAAACAAAAAAAAGTTAAAGAATTTTTTTTTGATTGGCGCTAAAAAATCAAAAACTAACTTTACTCGGTTAAAACCAAGTTTTCACGGCTTAAATAAGCTATTGTACGCTCGCTTTATTGGCTCGAAATTAGACCAAAAATCAAACACTTCAAACCTGTATTATTCGACACTGAGAAAATTGTTTTAAGACTTTTCAATGTCGTTCGAATCACGACTGAAGGGGCTTTTATTTGATGTTATTCGACCCATTCCGATGATTGTTTGTGGTACCTAAAAACACGTCCAAATACAAAGTTCCTCCCCATGTTTCAAATGGTCGGAACAAATAGAATGCTCTAGTGCTAATTTACTGCTTTTATTAAAAGGGGTGGCAATTCTTCAGTAGATACTATAGGGGGATTGCTAAGTAGATCCCTTTCTGTTAATATGCTATATGAAACTCCCTAGGAGGAGTAACCCGAAAATCTTCCCCGAACCCAATGCAGGTTGAGAATGATTTCTTTGACTTATTTTTATCAAGTTATTTGCCACTAAGAATAGAGTGTTTCTCAGCACACTCAACTGGAATTTAGTTGCAGACGAAAATGTTTGTTAAGTAAGTATCCAAGATTGACTGGGTATCATCTTGGTCTAGAAGCAAATAATAGAAAACAAGGCTTTTAAACGCGCATTATTTAACCCTAGCCATCAGTTTTCAAACACACATCTAATTGTACAAAAAACGGCCACAGATAATTGATGTATCTTCCTTAATGTTTCTAAAGCATAGACGTGGTAGAAAGTTTTTTTGTTACGCTTGCGATTAGCAAGCGTTATCAAATTGGAACATAGACTTTTTTCGGGTTAACAAGTAGTTTAACAAAATCATTTGAATCATTTTACCTTTGCTTCATATGAAATCAAAAGTCTGACGTTAATTCATTACACTTTATCTGTTGGTAATGAAGTTGCTTTTAAAATCTAATGTCCAGTGTTCGAGTCCTCGCCGGATCTTTTTTTTCAGTGTCTGAAATTGAAATTTGTTCTGGGAAGAACCGATTAGTCGGATTTTAGTTTGTCGGCTTAGTTGCCACCCCACATTTTTTTGCGCATTAATCAATTTTCTATGTAGTCTCAAGTGTCGTTGATTAACTTCTGTAGTTCTCTAAAACTACTATACCTAAGGTGTTTGTTTGCTGTTTTTTTTTGTTTTTTTTTTTGCTTAGAAAGTTTATTCGGCCTAAATGATTTCGGCTCTTGTTTTGTCGAAAACAAAGAATTATAATTAATGTTTTCAATATATCAGGTTTTTAATAAATCAGGCTGGAAGTAAAAAAAGTTAAAAGTTCAATCTGTTTTTCTGAGATTGGATTGTTCGTATTTCCAAAAAATGGTTGATTTTCTATGACAACTGTTTCCTTAGATATTTTTGTTTTCGGATCAATTGGCATCTAACCACGTTTTGTTGGCTTAGTGGACACTCGGAAAATACTTAAAACTTCTCAACTGTGGTGGTTGTGTTTCTGGTCTGTTTTTCTGCGATTGAATTTTTCGTGACCATTTAGTAGCTTGCAATGGTTCGCTTTCGTTGTATCAAATAGTTCGACCATCTAAGATAGTGTTGAAAAAAATTAAGCTGAAAATCTCAGCTTTTCCACCCCACTCCCCCCCCCCTTACATTACTCAATTAGCCTTCATAATACATAAAACAACTTTTATAGAGTTGCGAGCTTGAGTTGAACCTCTTTTTTTGTAAATATTTTGATGTCAAGTTTGTAATGAGGCGTGTTTTTTTGCTGGAATTCAATTTATTTTTATCAATATTCAAATAGAAAATTTGAACGGTGGGGGGTGTAGCGGCAAAAAGCCAAAGTATCATATATTTAAGATGATTGTTTTTCCAGGGAATAACTTATCGTCCGGGCGGGACGAAGTCCGGCTTCCGCAACGTGGACGGACTGAAGGTGGTGACGCGTCTGCTGCACGTGAAGGGGAAGAGGAGGGTGCGAATGAGTGAGGTGCCCCCTCGGTGGGGTTCGTTCAACAGTGGGGATGTCTTCATTCTGGACCACGGGGCTGATGTGTTCGTCTGGAATGGACAGAAGAGCAACAGGATGGAAAGACTGCAGGTAGTTCTAAGTTCATTGATGAACTCGTAGATAAACTCGGCACAAAAAATAATAAAAAACAACTTTTGTCGAAATTTTTGTTTGTAATTCATAAAAATTGTTTTTTTCGCGCGTCGAGTTATGTGTTCTTATTGAAGAAACGTAACCCGTAT